TTAAATATTTCTCCCTCAAATTCCTCCATGTTTGATGAATCTTTTGTGTACATTGCATAAACATGCGCTAGCCATTACTTGATCTATTTACAGTATTCACCGGTTAATCAATAGGTTTTTAATCTATTGTTTGAGTTTCTATATTTACTATCAATCTATATCCGAACTATTTAATGAAGTTTGACCACAGTGCATTTTACTATGGGTAACAAATGAATTGAATTGACGCAAAAGGAGTCTGGCTGTTATTCATATTTTGACAACTTTTAACCTTCCTACTCGTGATCATTTTATAAGTCAATTTAAAGTAGATGTGGGGTGTATAAGTAATCTCATCGTGGTGTAGACATTTTATTGTTTCGGATCACTTTGTAGGTTGCCACTATATACTATTGAGGGACTCTGTACCAAAAATTTACATTAAACGCATTTATGAATAATACTTTAATTCTCTACGGATTGTTTTCCTCGATAGACTTTTTTTAGATGTGGGTACACTTAAAGATAACAATTCTGAACCTAATAAAACTATCGACGAGTTCATAGAAACTTTTTTCGACTTTTGAAATTTATTTTTTTGTTTTTGTCTTATATGTCCTTTTTTCCAATTTCTTTCGGCTTGGAACGGAATCTTCATATCTTGCTTTGAAACTTTAAGGAGTCTTGTAGAAAATGTTATTTTAACTAGGCGTGCAGCTGCTGTCGTACAAAACCGTCTTTCAAAGTTTTAATTCGCAAAGTTGGTCTGTTTGAGATATTTTATGTAGTATTTCATTCCTTATTGTGTCCATTCATATTCTGCTTACCTCGTGCTTAATGGGAAAAGTCTTCATATAATTTTAAAGTAACTCCGGCTAGTTGCCACGGTTTGTTCTAGTCAAAAATTACAAGTCTTGACAATCATTGGTGGTTACAAGTTTATTTTTCACTCATCACAGCCCCTAGTCAATCAGTCTACTCCATACATCTCGTCACGCAGTTAATCAAGTGCAAAACAGGTCAAAGCACGTTTAAATGGCCTAAAAACACGTGCTAACGCGTCCGTTTAGGTTGGCAACGTATTTTAGACGTGAATGTAAAATAGCATGGTATGTCACGTGAAAGTCACGTGTATTATTAATACTAGTCGTTTCTTGTACTACACTGCTAAAACGAGACTCCGCCAGAATTATAGCTTAGGGGGGAGAGCGTCGGTCTTTGAAAGCGGGGTTTAGGGGTTCGACCCCCACCGGCATCATTTTTTGCACTTTTGACACGACTACTTTTAAGCGTGATCTTCCCCACCAGCGTATTCCTGAGGCCGAGGCGGTTCTCCCACATTTTTTTGCTAAGGATTTTGTTAGAAAAATATTTCGGAATATTTAATTTCCCATGTTTATTCAAAATCAGTCAGTGACCTTCAACTTTTTTATAGAACTTGATTCGGTTGTGTTGGTCAATAAGGGGATTATTTTTTTACTCGATAATTCGTTATTAACAAGGCGTATACGCGTAAAACAAAACTTTTGCAAGGGGAAGGGGTTTTAATGGGCTCGGATAAACGATGCTTGCCATCAGAATTAGATATAAAAGACAACGGTACTCCTACTAGTATAGTACTCCGTCTATAATTTCGAAAGATCATCCAAACTAGGTTTGGGTGACAGCAAATGCTTATTAAAGGCTAGAAGATAGTAGGAAGTTGTCTCTATATCAAGTCATTTTCATTCACTTGCGGAATTTTTATCTTGAGTAATATAATGTAGATGAACGCCGTTAAACAAGATTATTGCCTATTTGTTCTTCCTTGATACTATAATCATGCCTAGTTGAAATATAACTGATTAAAATACGTTATCAGATGATGACTATTAAAGAAGGAAAGGTAATAACAAACTAAAGCAAGTAAAGAAATGAGGCTCTATTCTAAGTTGGAGAGTTTGTCACGATAAAAATATAGGCTCATTCTATACTCAAAATGTGAAAAACATGTTGTTGGTTTTATCGGATTGATCATCTTTTAAAAATTCTTTCGGCTCTAGTCTTTATGTTAATAATCCCTCTTCAGTGTCAGCCGACACATGTGTAAAGTAATGACAGACTAATTCATCAAGTTGTCATTGATTGAAATTGCCTTTAGACATACTATTTAAGGATGTTTTCCCTTTTGTACACTTTTTTGTCCAGCTAGACTTTTTTCAACTATTAGCATATCTAAATTTGCCTATTCCAAACACATTAAAATTACTCCCATGTCCATATAAAATTTTTTCGACTTTTGAGAAATATATTTCTGTGTTTGACTTCAGTCTTTTATTTTCTAATTTCTTTCGGCTTGGAACGAAATCTTGAGATTATCCTTTGAAACTTTTAGGAGTCGTGTCGAAGATAATACGTAAACTATACATAATGTGGTAGTTATTCAAAACTGCTGTAAAAGTTGTTCATTGGCAGTATTCTCAGTTTTTTAAGTATCATAGACTGTTTCTTCTTCAATAATGAGTGCATTCATGATCTGCATATATTGTGTGTAGTGTACAATGTCTTTATACTATGCTAAAACCGTATCAATTATTGGACACCTGTCGCTATGAAATGAAATTACAAGGCCGGCCATTTGTGGGTCCTTTTACTAACATCATCGCTACTTGTTTGTTATTTTGTTAAATGTTTGCTATAGTTTGCTCGCAGTGGCCCTGGTAATCAAGACGACTGTTGCAGTTGTCCCCAATTTATAGCATTTATTTAATCAAGTATTGTAGCTTACTTTGAAGTTGTGGTCTAACAATTGGAGAGTTATTTTCTCATCAATGACTCTTAGGAGTTCATATCATGTTTTTAACAGAGTTGATCTATGCTAAAACCGTTACGAATACTAGCAGTTTAGACTTGTGGCATAAATAACATTTACTCTACAACTTGGAAGTTTCTTTGCCCAAGAGTCGGGTTATCTAGTCAATTATTGTTCCTCCTTCATAACATTTCGTAGATGGTTACAAAATATGTTTCTATAATTATTATATGTAGGCCAATTATTGTGGCAATTCAACCTTTTGTGAATTTGGCCCAGGTAACATTAGGTTAGGTATATGACTTTTATTTATTCGACCTGTTTTATGATGTAGACTTTTTTTAACAATTTGTGTACGGAGCGCAGACGCTTAGAATTCTATTAAAAGTATTCCCATATCGTTGTAAATTTTTTTCGACTTTTGAAAAATATTTTTTTGCATTTTGTTTAAAAGATACTTTTTTCCAAATATCTTTCCGGTTGGGACGTATGCTTGGTATTTTGTTCTAGTACTTGCATCATGAAAGTAGCAGGTCTTCTTAAACCGATATGGATTGCGTTAGTCTTTTAAAAGTTTCCGAAAGTATTATTTGGCTTTGTTGTTGGGTTTTTTATGTCTTTAACAATTGGAATTTTCGAAACTGCATAAATTCTTGTTTCGTCTACACCATATGCAGTGTAGAAGTTCTTTTATCATTGTACACCTATTCCGATTGTTTATAAGTAATGATTGTTTGCAAACAGTTACTACCTGAAGTGTTATTATTTTTTTTAATGTACTCATCCTTACTTCGTTAAATTCGACTATGTCTTCCCATTTCCTGTCAAAGAAGAGCTGGTTAGTCCTACATTAATTCCAGGTATTTCCCAGTTTTAATACATATCATATATACAATCACTTCGTATTTCGTAATTTATTCTATTAACTTGATAAACAATTCGTCTAAACTAATTTTATCATCATGCCAATGATACAAGGATACGCTAGGGTATATTAAGCCGATTGACGACAGTTTTTTCTGCTTGACATTTGCTAAAATTTGTAATACAGAAGGGCTTTGCTTTTCTAAAACCAACTAAACTACATATTTCTACTTATTTTTTATACATAAACAGTAGCAGGGCCCATAGTTTTAATTTCTACAAGGCGATAATTTGCCAAAGATATATTGGCCCTCCATATTGGAAGTAAAATAACAAAGTTACAGTCTGTAATAAAACTAGGCTATACTTTATAATAATGCTAGAGGTCAGCCAAATGAATGAATCCTAGCTTGAAAATAAGTTTAGACCAAAAAAGCAAGAAACAATTATATAGAACAATACTTTGCGATTTCAGCATGAGAATAGACTAGAATCCCGTGCAATTTACCTAAAGTACGCCTAGAAACAATCCTAAACTAGTACTTTTCATGCCTGCCGTTGTCCAGCCAATCATCGCACAGGAATCTCCAAAAAAGTCAATTTTTTAAAAAAATTATTTTTTTTCAAAAGTCCCAAAAAAAGAAACAGCGGAGTTTAAATTATGTCGTAAAAATTGTCAATTTTCAATGCAGCTTTATCCAATCAAATCCTGTCGTACAAAGTTGAAAATAGTACCGTTCGAAAGCGGTGTTTGCGATGCAGAGCGTAATGGAGCCGGATTTTTTGTTTTTATTCTAAAATTGTTTTTAATAGTGAAATAAAAATTGTTTCCCTGCTTAAAATCATGCATTTTGACTTTAAACCTGTGTAACTTGCCTTCTGCCAATTAAAGGTGGGGCATGTTATATATTTTTGAACTCGCGTGATTTTTCGCTATTTTTAGAGATTCTTTTCCATGTTTCGTCAGGGGTACTATTACTCCACTTTGTCTCTCTGTCTCTTACTTACCAACAGAACCCTATCCCTAAAACTTCCCTGCTGATCCTACTTTACTTCTCTGTCTCTAACTTCACAACATAACCCTATCCCTAAAATTTCCCCAACTAATCCCACCTTATCTTTCTCTCTCTTACTTCACCTACAGAACCCTATCCCTGTCTCTTGTCTTCTCATCTAACTTATCCACTACTCTACAGTGATCTCTCGTTGATCACTCCGATTTGTGCGCAACTACGCATGTTTCAGATAGCCCTCATACCACTCTCTCCATGGTAACACCCTCTTCTCATAGCAACACATCAACCCCAACCCCCAATTTTCCCCTTATACCCTAATTACTTATTTTAGTTTCTTCTTACTTCCCCCTTTATTCCCTCTGACTCCCCTTGTCGTAGGCAACTGCGTTGTCGAGGGCAATAGCGTTGTCGAGGGCAATTGCGTTGTCGAGGGCAATTGCGTTGTCGAGGGCAACATCGTTGTCGAGGGCAACTGCGTTGTCGAGGGCAATAGCGTTGTCGAGGGCAATTGCGTTGTCGAGGGCAATTGCGTTGTCGAGGGCAATAGCGTTGTCGAGGGCAATTGCGTTGTCGAGGGCAATTGCGTTGTCGAGGGCAACATGTTTGTCGAGGGTAACATGGTTATCGAGGGTAACATGGTTGTCGAGTGTAACATGGTTGTCGAGGGTAACATGGTTGTCGAGGGCAACTTCGTTGTCGGGGCAACATGGTTTTCTAGGTAATTAATTATGTAGTCTGTGTTATATATGGTGTCGTAGTGATAATTATTCTTCATAGTGATTTTTAATAGTCATATTGATAATTAATATTCATAGTAATCATTACTAGTCATAGTAATTATTAATAGTCATAGTGTTCGTTAATATTCTTAGTGATCATTAATAGTCATAGTGATCATTAATAGTCTTGGTGATATTATTGTCATAGATATCTTTTGCCCTGGTTACTGTATTGCCTTGGTTATTTGGTTTCTAGAATATCATGTTGTCTTGGTTATTTGTTATCCAATAGGTCTTGTTGTCTTGGAAATTGTTGTCTTTCATACTTCGTTGTCTTCATTTCTTTGTTGTCTTGGCTATTTAGTATCCATGATATCGTGATCTCATACTAATAATGTCGTCCTACTTAATTGGTTTTCTTAGTTATGTAGTTGCCTTGGATATCTAGTTGTCGTGCATATTATGTTGTCTTGGAGATTCCGTTGCTTTAGGCATCGTTTTGCCCAAGTTATATTGTTGTCTTAGTTACTGCTACTCTTAGGTATATTGTTATTATAGGTATTGGGTTGTCTTAGTTATCTTCTTCTATGAGATATCCTGTTGTCATAGTCATCTGGTTTTCCTACTTGTTTTGTTGCCCTAGATACTCTGTTGTTCTGACTATCTGGTTGTCCTGGAGATCGTGCTGTCTAGTTGTCTTAGATATCTGGTTGTCTTAGATACACTTACCCTAGGTACCTGGTTGGCTTTGACATATTTACCCTAGATACTTCGTTGCCCTAGATAGACTATTCCCTTAGATACTCGGTTGCCTTGGACTTTGTTGCCTTAGACATCTCGCCGACTAATCTATGTAGTTGTCGTATATTTCTACTTGTCAAAGATATCATGTTGTCTTGGATACCCTGTTTCCTTACTCACGCTGTTGTCCTAATTTCGTTGTATTCTTACATATAATGGTGTGTTGATCATATTGTTGTCTTAGTTACCTTGTTTTCTTCGACCTCCTGTTGTCTTGGAGACTGCGTTGTCTTTGTTTCTTTGTTGTCCCACTTGTTTTTTGCTGTCTGCGTTTAGTCGTTGTCTTGGGAATGGTGTCTCCATGATACCATGTTGTTCTGAAATTGTGTTGTCTTCGAAATTATGTCGTCTATATTTCTTTATTGCCTTGGTTATTTGGTATCTAGGATACCATATTGTCTAGGTTATTTGGTAATCGGACTATCTTGTTGTCTTGCATATTGTTGTCCTGGTTATTTGGTATCAAAATTATGTTGGCTTGGATATTGTTGTCATCCGTATTGGGTTGTATTCGCTTCTTGGTTGCCTTGGCTATTGAGTATGCATGATGTCGTGTATAATTGATTATTTGTTACATTCGCGTCTTTGTTGTCCACGTTACTTCGTGTCTTGGTTGCTGTGTCGTCTTAGAAACAACAATATCATGTTGGATATTAAGACGTCCTTCGTTTTAAATCGTGTTAGAGGCGCTGCTGTCCTAAATTATTACTTGTCAACAATATTTTGTGGATATAATTTTATCTAGTTGCCGCCATTTCTCATCCTCAGTATCATATTTGTCTTTAAAGAATTATTTATAGTTTTGTAGAGTATGCAACCTCAATATTTACTATACTTGGGAACCATTGAAACAATTGTCATTATAATACCATACGACTTTGTCATTATCTCAAAACTTTTGTATATCTAGCCTTTTTCCTTTTTTTTGATAAATACTACGTACTATCTTGAAGACATTACCAGTATTTGTTAGAAGTTCTGAAATTATTTCGACTTTTGATATTTTCTTTGTCCTTTTATCTTAAGTATTTAATGTTTCTAATTTCTTTCGGCTCTGCTCCTTATTCTCGCAGATCCTCTCCGTAATAAACTTACACACTCTAAATAAATGGCACACTTATTCATTAAGATACCATTGCCTAAAACTGTCTTTAGACATAGTATTTATGAGTTTTTTCACTTTTGTATCTTTTTGTGTTCGGCTAGACTTTTTTTAACAATACCCATACGTACATTTGTGAATTCTCATCTTATTAAAGTAACTCCCAAGTCTTATAAATTTTTTCGACTTCTTACAATTTTTTTTTAAATTATCCTCCCTGGTCTATTTTTTTTCGGCTTGCCACCAATTGTTTGTCGTTTGTCTTCAAACTTGGAGGAGGTTCTTAGAAGATACGTCTAATACTACCTGCCCTATTGTCATTATGTGAAGTTGACTAAGGAATTATTATTTGGTGATATTGTAACTATTAATGTTAGTTTATAAAGTAATTAATGCTATACGGTCTTTATTTGCATTGGCAGACGTTTTTTGCGGTGCAAGTAGTCTTTATTATTCGCTTAAGTTATAAAATAATTCTTCTCTTTTTGTCTACGTGTAAAGAATCATGTCATGTTCACTGCTGGAGATTTTTTAATACTTTGATAACCTATTTGTCATTGTTTGATCAAACTTCCTTTTATTTTCGACAAAGATGCGCCAGATACAACTTAGACTGTTTGTATTACTCCTCAGTTATGAAGTAACTTTAAATATATGGTGTTATATTTTGTATTTGTTGTTGACTTTCATCCGACCTATTACCAAAAAAATAATTACAAGGTCTTCATATTAGATTAAACGTTGCGCTGTCATGTTCTAAAATGACTTCAGCTATTATTCATGCTTTTGGATCTTTACACTTGTAGTCTCATACTCGGTTATAATTTCATTAGCAAATATCAGGTAATGGTCTAGCTTTTAATTAATTCCCTTCCTCTTCAACATATTATCTGTAACCGCTTTCTTGACAGGTTGCTACTATTTTATTTTGATTGACTCCGTAATAAATGGCCACATATCACTCAGTTATCACCTCTGGATCATTTACGAACGGATTATTTTTCTGGCTAGACTTTTTTTTAATCGTTTGTACAATTGGAAATAACTATTCTAGGTTTAAAAAAAGGTATTACCGTTTCCTTAAAAACATTTCGACTTTTGAAAATCATTTTTTTGGTTTTGTCTTATTTATCCTTTTTTTTTCAATTTCTTTCGGCTCGCAAGGAGTTTTTGATATTTCTTTTTGAAACTTGCAGGAGTCATGGAGGACATCGTATTCAAACTATTCATGCTGTTGTGGTTATTCAAAAGTGTCTTCGAAATTTTTAATTGGAATTATTGCTCTTTTCAAGATATTTTATAAAGTGTTTTCTTCGTTACTGTGTCTATTTATGTTCTGCTTATCTCGTGTGTAATTTACATTGTTCTTTTACGATGCCAAAAGTATTACAATTAGCATATTCTAGTTGCTGTGATGAATAATTCCACGTCTTGCAAACTGTTAGTGTACTTTATAACTTCTTTCGTAAGTTTTTATTACTTGCAGATACTTTTCTACGTTTAGATTAATGTTGCTCAAGTAAGTATGACAACTATTTGAAGTATGCAACCATCAATTGCATCTGTTTAATCAAATGTTGTTATGTCATTTTACTTATCTTCTGACAGTTTAATAACTTCTTTATGGACAATGATTCGAATGTGTCATACGTCATTTTAAAATGGGTTATTCTATGGTACACTTATTATACATACGACTTATATAAACCTATGGTACAAATGAAACGTCACCTTCGCATTTTTGCCCCAAACTCTGGTTATCTGGTCGAGCATTGTTTTCTGTTCATAATATTAGGTATTTGGCTTGGATATATGTCTTTAAAAGATTGATAGGAAGGTCTGTTACTATAGAAGTCCAAAGTTTTTTCCATTTGACACAAGTATTTCTGGGGTCATGTCACTGATTTGTGTTCATCTGACCTGTTTTATGATATAGACTTTTTTTAACAATTTAAATACAAAACGCGGACTATTGTCAATCCATTGAGACTATTGCGCTGTCTTTATAAAATTTTTTCGACTTCTGAGAAATATTTTTCGAGGATTACCTCAAGTTTTCTTTTTTTGTTTAATGGTATTCGGCTAGATACCCCATTACAGTATTTCCTTTTTATACTTTTATGACAAATGTAGAAAGTACTGCTGTAACTGTTTCTAATGTTTTGGTCGTTGAAAAGTGTCCTGAAAGATATAATTTATTAACTTTGTCCATTTTATTATTTATTCTGTGAGGTATTTAGTTCAATATGGCTCTAATTCGGAATCCGACGACCTTGTTTGCAGTGTAAATAGTCTCTATTGTTCCTTTACATTATTGCAAGAATCCTCCGCTTCCTGCTTTTGTGCATTGACTCATGTCATATCTACTGCAGGGTTTTTTTATATAGAAACCACAACGTTTTCGATCTTTAATTAAATCTCATATACTTTACATAATCATGAGCTACATATTACTAAAAGTGTTTATAGTATTCCCTGGTTATTACGTAGGGCTATAAGTCAATTGTTCGATGTTCGGTATCTCTTTTGAATCTATTCCAACTATTTTATAAGCAATGACCACAAGGCCTTCTAATTTGGCTAAGAGAACAGCTGAAATGGGCAAAAAGAAGTCAGAATGTTATTCATATTTTTGGGGGTGTAACGGTCATACTCGTGAACATTTTATAAGTAAATTCAAAGTAGATGTTTGGCTTATAAGTAATATTCGTGCTGTAAAGACCATTTATTATTACCGCTAACTCTGTAGGATACTATTATGTAGTGTTGAGTGACTCCATAGTACAATTTTGGAATCTACACATTTACTAACGATATATTACTAATATAAGGACTGTTTTACTCGCTAGACTTTTTCTTATTGTTTGAACACTTAGAGCCAACAATTCTAGACCTAATAGCACTAGCCAGATGTCTTTAAAATTTTTTGTCGACTTCTGAAAAATATTTTTCTGCGATTGTCAAACGTGTCTTTTCTTTCCAAATTCTTTCGGCGTGGAACGAAATCTTGATAATGCTATTTTAGACTTTTAGGAGTCATGTAGAAGATACGATGTAAACTAAGTATGCTGTAGTG